GAGAGAGAAAGAAGGTGGGCCCTTCTTATTTTTTTAATTATTAAAATAAATAAATTAGTATTAGATTTAAGAAGAAATGAAAGAAAAATGAAAAATAAATACCCCAAGGGTATTATAGTCATTTCATTATTCAGATGGACCAAAAACGCAAGAAAACTAGCTCAAAAGGACCATGAAACAAAAAAAGTCGGGGTTTGGACTAAAACCCCAAAAAGATGCATACCACAGGGACCATTTTTGCGTATTTGTCATCAAAGTATCCAACCAAAATTCTAAATCCTTCCTAATAAATGAAACTAATTTTGTCACTTGTCAATTTCTCATGAGTTTTGACACTTGTCATTTTATAATATTTTTTGAAATAAACAATATCCACATGTCAATTTCTAAGTTTTTAAAATTTTTAAAATTAAAAAACCACATAATAATTATATTCTTATATATGTAAAGTATTAAATATAATAAATATGATAGTGAATTCCAATTAATATGTTTCTTCATTCCTTATTTCATAATTTTATTTTAAAAAATAATTATTGTTTACATTTTAATATTTAATTTTTTTTAATCAACCGGTGTATTACACGAGTTTTATACCCGATTTTGCTTATGTTTTTAATAATTAGCAAGCCATTTTAATTTTGCACACGTTACAACAACATAATGAATGGCGTGTTTGACATGGAGCTTTTGGAAGCGTTTGGGAGCTTCTAGCTTTTAGCTTTTGACAAAACGCTCTAGTTGAAACAAAAAGTTTCGTTTGGCAGTACGAGCGTTTAGCTTTTAGTTTAAACAAAACGCTCCAAATCTAAAAGCTACTTCATGTAACGTTTAACAAAACGCTGCTGAGCTTTTGAAATCAATTTCCATAATTACCCTTAAAAATAAATTTATATATTTATTTATTTATAACCAGTTGTCATTTTATGTAATTTTATATATTTCAAAAGCTCCCAGCTACTTTTGTCAAACACTCATATAACAAATAAAACATACAGCTTCCCGCTACACGCTACCAGCTAACCGCTACCGGCTTCCAGCTAACAACTACTTTTGCCAAACACGCCCTAAGTTTCAATTTATAAATGATACAGGTTGAGTTTCAATTTTCAATTTTCAACAAACTTCACTAATTTCGATAGATGATACCAACACACTTCGCTAAAATTCCCCAGTATAACAACGATTTAGGCCATTGGTTGTTTACTTGTTTTTGCCCATGAATACTTTAAAAGAAAGTTGCTATTATAAATTTAAAATACCTTGTCATAAGAAATTTGGGCCAAATATATGGTTATTACTCACATTTAACTATAACTTAAATACAATCAATGTAGACAACTTCCCACCGATTCAGGTTTCATCCCATTTGATCATTTTGTTTTTAGCTCAATTTTGAATTTTATTCATTTGACTTTGTTAGAGACAAATTATAATCCAAATCAATTCATTATTTGTAATTGGATCAAATTTTCACATCTAATTAGAATAAATAATTATCATGCATTGCTGACTATTTTCAGGGAAAAGGCCTTAAATCAGAGTTTGACATAAAAACTTAAACCATATTAATAAAAGTTTTTGAATATAGAGAAAAAAAAAAAACAACTATAGGCAAAATAATTAAGTTTTTTTTTTTTCCAAAAATAAAGAAAATTTCATCAATAATCATTACTTTCTGAGGACCCATTTAAAAATGGGTTTCGGGCTTTCGGCCTTTGCAAATAGGTCCTTATAAATAAGATATTTTTTGTTTCATTTTTCCATACTTTTACACCATATATTTTGTTTTTTGTAAAACTTCTTTTCAACAATGAATCTAACAATGAATCTATGAACAATTTGTGAGCGTGTGTAAAACTTACACCGTATATTTCGTTTTTTTTGGCAAAAAAAAAAAAAAAAAAAACACGGTTTTTATGAACAATTTCACACAATGAATTTCGCAATGAACAATAGCATTCGTAGTAGACTTTTATTCTTTTAATATTTTTTTCCCAAAACTACATTATTTTAAGCATTTCACAATACATATTCCCTTTTCACGACTGCAAATTTGATGGCCATATAATTTTTCTTAAACAAACTTAATAATTTAAGCAAGATTTGTCATTGTCTTGAATATATAAGTACAAAGTGCAGTTAGTATTGTGCTTGTAATTTATGATCTACTTGCACCCCACCCCACCTTATAGACTACTTTCACCATCAGAGTCTATCCACCCATCCCCATCTTAAAGTTAAAGACTTAAATAGTGAAGAAAACAGTCTATTGGAATTTAGAAGGACCCATACCCTTCATTTTGGACACACATTCCTCAAATCCATTACAAATGACAACCCATGTGAAATATATCTGTCCCACACTCTGATAGGTCTATTAATCAGGTCCGTCCACGTGTCACTCCATCCTTTGGACCACTCAAAGTTACCGTTAAACTGCCAAACCCAAATATATACCCTCTTCAGTCTTCTATACATCATTTACTTCCTTGGTTTCATCAATCGTCACGTGACCCTTTGACAAACTTGTGATAAATAACAGAATCGACTTCAGTTTTAATGCAGATAGATGTATTACTGTAATTCATAATTCCAAGGAATATGTTACAACTTATATGGTGATGTTCAACATTTTATATAAACTACAGTAACTCGTGTCGTAGAATAGATAAAAGATGTGAAAATATTTATCCAAAATTTTATTATGTTTGGTTACCAAAGAACTAAATATACTCATCCACCTTCCTCCTTTATTCACCAATAAAATTTGCCGTTTATTGATTCTAGTTCATTTTTATTTTCTCATAATTAGTCTATCACCAAGATTTGAGTTTTAATATTGCTTTGAGTTGGGTTTGTTTTCTGGTTAATCATATATATTTGATGTTATACAATCATGGAAGGTTAAATATTACTAACTGCTTAACTAAAAACAAATTGGAATTCAATATATATATATATATATATATATATATATATATATATATATATATATATATATATAGTTTAATGAACCAGATCTTAATTTTTCTATTGAAATATTAATATAATATTTATATTATATTATAATCTTGCAAATCTCAAACTTTTGTGGGTACTTCAAGGTTGTATTCTCTGCTTCCTTTTTCATCCATCTGGACCCTCTGTTTTTCATAGAAGCTTAGTTACACAATCTTTCTCTCTAGTACGTGTTACACTACATGAGTACGCACTCCTCATTCTTTGGCATTTATAATCTTATAATTAAGCTGAGCGGAGTTGGGTTACACTCTATTCACTTCGGAGTTCATTTTTCTGCTAGTAATTTTCTCAAACACCTTATCCGCATACAATAGATCCAGATTCTACCTTTCTGCTATGCTTGAATAGTATGATAGTTTATCATCATTGAATTTGGTGTTTTGAAGTTAAAATCATGAAGCCCATAAGCCCTCGTTTCACTCCACTGATTTAGTTTGATTTTGATCTCTGCTTTGTGTAAAAGTTCATTTCTTTTGACCGTGAACTACGCATACATCGCGTTCTTGCAGTTTTGTTTCATGTTGCAATCATAAAAACACAACTTTTATCCTTTTTAGCCTCCGTATGCTTAGATCTGTGTAACTGGTTTACTTAAATATTGAATTTTCCAATATCGGATGTGGGAACGAGAGAGGACTTGATGCGGATCTCCAATAAAGAGTAAGCTAGAGGTGTATCGAGTTAAGAAAACTTAATCTTTGATAAACATATATACGTGATTATGAAGTCGATAGAAGATAAGGATTGCTTGAATCTTGCATCACCTCAGGAGATTCAGAAAGGAAACGGGTCAAATCGTGGTTCACACCACCATCGAACCGCTCTAGGCAAACCAACACCATCAAAATGGGACGATGCCCAAAAATGGTTAGTTAATTTGTCAAGAGGTGTAGATAAGAGTCAATCCAACATCGAGCCACGTGATTCCAATGCAGATGATAGAAGACTGATAGCACCAGTTCCCAAAAAAGATTATCCAAGTAGTGAAGATGAAGAACATGGAACGATTGAAACAAAAAAAGTCGATCTTGGAGATTCAATGTATGTTAGCTCAATTTGTGTGAGAGACATGGGGACTGAAATGACCCCAATGGCTAGCCAAGAGCCTTCAAGATCTGCCACACCGGTTCGAGCCACAACCCCGGCTAAACACAGCCCTGCACCCTCAGGCTCCTCGACTCCTGTAAGACCATTCACAATAATACCTGCGGTTGCACCTGTCCCAAAAGCTGACACTGGTGCAACCACAAGGTTTAGGAGAGAAACCGAAGAAACAAATGGTGAAAATGTTGTTGAAAATAGAAACCCGTGTCAAGATTCTAAGATGAATCCTCTTGAAACCCGGGCTATGGCTTGGGATGAGGCTGAACGTGCAAAATACATGGCAAGGTGATTATGATAATGGTTGTTTGATATCATGTCCTTGCTTTTTAATAAGGCACATCCAAACACCCTTTTCAAATTGTGCGTTTTTTGGTGTTGATTGTAGGTTTAAGCGTGAAGAGGTGAAGATAGAAGCTTGGGAGAATCATGAAAAGAGAAAAGCCGAGATGGAGATGAAAAGAATGGAGGTAATAGTTACATGGTTTTTCTTTTTTTAGCCAAACATTTTAGATGATTTTTTTGATTTAGATAAAGTCAATTGGTTTAGGATAAAGGACATGACATAACAAGTTTTGTAATGACACTGTCTAATATGTTTTAATTTGAAAAGGTTTGTTTTAAATTGTGGTTAGGCTAAGGCGGAAAGATTGAAATCTCGGGCACAAGAGAAGTATACGAACAAACTTGCTTCAACAAGAAGGATAGCAGAGGAGAAACGAGCAAACGCTGAGGCTATTTTGAATGAAAAAGCTGTAAAAACGAGTGAAACAGCAGATTATATAAGGAGAACTGGTCACTTGCCCTCTTCTTTCTCCATTAAGTTTCCTACTTGTTGCTGGTAGCAGTTGGTGCTGGATTTCAGTATTCTTGTATTTATCATTCAATTTCCGCTTCAAAATACTTTCTCATGTTGTTATATGCAAAGATCGTTTCTTTTGTCAAATGTTTAGTTTCGATGTTAATGAGCTTTTCAGATACGTAAAAAATGAGACTTTTTTTTTTCTTTTTTGTTAAAAAGGTACTTCAGTTCTTTGTGTTCATCGTCAAGAATCATCGCAGTACGCAGAGGCGACATTGGCTTTTAACATTTTTCATAGATGTCGCTTTCTTCATACTAGGTGTAGGGTCACTATGTAATCCTAGTAGCAAATGCACCCACATGTACACAGTACATTATATATCTATTATGCATAAATGTGATAACGAACACACATCCACTTAGATTTATATCTGAAGCATAATTATTAGACGATCCATCGTGAATTCTGTTGAAACAAATGCTATCAAACAATGTATATAAACCAACTATAGAACTTGAATCAAGATGTAAACAACAAACATAAACAGAATATTTAATTGAAATAAAGTAGATAAAATTAATAAATTCTACTCGTACTTTACAAAAATCCAAACAAGAATCTAATCCCTTTTTGCATAATATGCATGGAAAGTGACATCTTTATGAATGACAGTTTTCTAGGTTAAAAACACAAATGACCCTAAAAGGAAAAAGGAAAAAGGTCTTACATGATGTGAGGTTCACATTTACAATTTCTTCAGTTATATAATATCATTCATTGTATCTCCAAAGGCTCGCCCTAGTTGTAAAAATATGAGAATGTGTAAGTTTGTGTTTGATTTGTTACATAATACTATGATTGGTGTATAATCCATTGATGATCTTGGACAAATTTTTTTTGAGCCATCTTCTGTGATGTGTATGAGAAAGACATTTACATCCTTTGCACAATATTAAATATTTGGAGCTAATCTTTATTCTATATTGATGGGACAAAAAATTATTATTTTCGTCCCATTGACATTTTTCATGGTCCAAACATCACACACAATACAAAAATGAAAAAAGCACATGGATGAAGAAAACAAAATTCAGATTTTAAATTTATTAAAATAGAATAAGAATATAACATCATACAGACAAAAATATGTCAACTAAGCATCAAATATAGTAATTAGTAAAACATGCTACAAGAGGATATATGATATTAGGGGTGTAAGTGAGCTGAGCTACTCGGGATCGACTCGTTAAAAGCTCGACTCGAGATCGAATTAAACGAGCCCAAGCCGAGCTCGAGCCTAAATATGAGGCTCGTTTATTAAACGAGCTCAAGCCAAGCTTTAGTTAGTGGGCTCGTGAGCCTAAACGAGCCTATATATTAATATTATATATATATATATATATATATATATATAATATATATATATATATATTATAGGCTCGTTTAAGCTCGTTTAGGCTCGCGAGCTCACTAAATTGTTCACGAGCCGAGCTCGAGCTTCATTTTAAGGCTCGAATCGAGCTCGAGCTTCTTCAAAATTAAACGAGTCGAGCTCGAGCTTGGTTAGGATCGAGTTCGGCTCGGCTCGTTTACACCCCTATATGATATAGGTGCGTGTGATATATCCGAACAAATATGTTTTGGTTACCCATCCATATATTATATGACTAAAAAAGAAAATTTTCATCAATCATGTTCAAAATAATTCATAATGTATAACATATTTATGGGAAAGTGATGTATGAGGGTAATTATATTTTCATAAGATTTTTTTTACGAATTTCTTAAGAATTTTTATAAAATCTTTTAACATTTTTATAATATTTTTTTCCTATAGTTTTTTATAATGTAATGTTTTAAACTTTACTTATATATCTATATATATATATATATAATATATATATATATATATATATATTATATATATATATATATAAACATTTTTTTATACTTTCATATAATTTTCATACAAGTGTTTTTAAATCAAATATTTTCTAAATGTTTTAAATTTTACATTTGTTTTTTTTTTTTTTTTTTGAAACTTTCATACAATTATTCCTAAACTTTCTTTTACAACATTTTTAAAATGTTTCATAGATTTTGTATGTCAATTTAATACTTTTTTATAACATTTAAAATACGTTCGTTAAATACTAGTTTAGAACGTTGTATTAAAAAATTAAAACGTTTATAAACTTCTAATTAAAAAGTATAAAAAAGTTGTAATAATTTTAAAACATTTATATTATATAGTTGTTTTTTTTGAATTTTTTATTTGCTAAAATATAATTAATATTTATGATAGTAAGTTTTTACTAAAAATAAATTAGTAGAAAATTGATTTGTCAAAATCAAAAGACTATAAATAAAATAATAATCAATCATTATGTATACTTTAAAAATAAAGTTTAGAAAAAAAAATATAAAAAATAAAATCGTTATTAAAAGTGAGAAAAATGACTTATGATGGTATTTAACTTTTCGTTTTGTTCACATTTAAGATTTTTTTTTGTACATATTTAACCATTTAACTTGTTAAATGTGTTCACATATTACTATTGTTATCTGCTATAACAGATAACAATAGTAATAGGTGAACACATTTAACAAGTTAAATAGTCAAATATATAAAAAAAAAAAGTTAAACGCAAACAAGAAGAAAAAGTAATTACTCTCACAAGTCATTTTCCCCATATTTATTGCGTAACTTTGTCTTGCAATATAATAATAACGTTTTCTTTTTTCTCAAATGTGTGGTGAAACACGAGTTCATTTTTATTCTACACAGGTTTTTCTTTATTATTTTTTTATTATATTATACATCTAATTTCTTTTCATTAGAAACAAATACAACATTAAGCTGGTTATAAGCTAAAGCACTAATAATTATAAATAATTTATGGACCAAATCTGTCTTATATGTAATATGTAATCGATTAATAAATAAAAAAGCAGTCTGAAATGACAACCTTTTGGTGATGACGAAAAGGTAGCTGGTTTAAGGTTCAAATTATTTGGTTGACAACATGTCAAACTCATGGTTAGCAGCAAGAAACCCCCTGAACTAATGACTAGTTGAACATAACCCCTTTGACAAATGTCTAGTTACATATAACCCCTTGCACTGACAAAACTTTCATCTAACACACCTTAATTCAGAAATCTATATGCGCAACTGGGTACCATACCAAATTGATGCGAATTTTAGCATCGTATATTGATTTACAAATGTTTAGAACTCCCAGTTGAATGGGATTATAGTATTTGTATATGCTAATTAATGGTTTTGTAAACCATAAAGAATATCATGTTCAAACTTCAAACTTCAAACTTCAAACTTCAAACCTCAAAACAACAACACCAAAACCAAACTGTACAAAAGCACCTCATATAGACATAAAGAAAGTCCCGTTTTCATTGTCAAAACTCAAAACTCTATTCTAGTGCACCATGAACAACAAATCTTGATCTATGACTGTAAATTGCATAAGAAAATCAAGACAATCCATCACTTGAGATGAATACAGTAGTTCTTCCAAGCACAAAGAGAACAAGTGACAACTCAATGAAGAAGATTGTGTTTATAAGACTTCGGTCAACTGTCCAACCATATAAAGTAATGCCACCTGGATTATTCTGTAGATACATAACTGCACATATTTTCATTAGTAAAATCTATGTGACCTGACCTTTCATTTATTAAATTAAAATATAGTACAATGGTGTAATAAGAAGAATTGAAATAACAAACAAACTTACGAAAGGCTTGTCGTCTGTGGTAGGAAGATAAATAAGAGGTGAGTTGTTCGTTTGTAGGAAGGGGAGTATAATTCATGGCTTCCATATCAGCTTCTGAAGAAACAGATCTTAATAATCCATTTGAATTTCCCATTTGATTTGAAAACCTCATCCTCATGTGAGAGGCATCATCTGGACCACATGATGCTAAGGCATGCCATCTGCTTGCTAATGCTGCAACGCCTTGTGCTCTGTGTGAAATCTTTGCTGCAGCATTCAAACACAGAATCACACCCACCACCTGTGCAATCGAAGAAACCTGTCCACCAAATGTTGTAATTGGAACAAATTTAAATATAAGTTTTATATAATATAACAAACAAATCAATCAATCAACACTACTTACAGCAAAATCACCACCATTTATGAATGTCACTTTGTTACTGAACCCTGTGATTTGGAATAGAGTTGCAAATTGGCTTGAAGTGACAACTATGAAGACAAGAAGAAGGTAAATCCGGAACCTATGACTTATCTTTGACAAATGATGACGTAATCGCGCATGCTCTTCTATAAATACCAAAACATCGGTTTCTCTTTCCAAAAGGTTTCCATAGTCATCAAAGTGGATGATTTGCAGATTGCAAACCAAATGGAACACCAAACATGATGATAAAAAGATCACAGTCACATACATCCATGGAAAAGTCAAAGCAACCAAAATGCCACAGGATTTCCACCAAGACTCATGATGCATGTACATCATCCGGATAACTTCACGAACTATCTTTAGGAAAAGACATGGAAGAACCCACAAAACTAGTGCACGTTTAGCTTCCTGAAATTACCATTACAACATATTTCATTATGACATCACAATCCATCCAAAAAGATGCAATTTGAATTTAAGATTTGGTTAAAAAAAAAACTATCACCAATGGCTATAATTTGTCAACTTATCAACTTTCTTATGACAAGTTTATTTATCTGCCTTTCCATATCTATTTTACCCCTAAATAATCAAACCCAAAAACATAAAATTGGTTTTTGAGATTTTAATTCGCAATATGATCAAATTTCTTCAACAACACCAGCAAGTAATAAAGATATACAAATCTTCCCCTCAATATTTTTTCATAATCTTGTAATAAAGAAGAAAAGATTCAGGAACAGATAAGCAAAGTATCAAACTCTACGCCTAAAGATTCTAATATTCACCTGATTATTATCAAAATCATTTTCTCAAGTATCAAGAAAATTATTAACAAATCATTTTCTCAAGTATCAAGAAAATACATAAAAACCATTGTTGTCTGCAAGAACTATGACATGATGACAGAGCCAGGGAGGGACCATCAGGGGCCTTTCGTCCTCCTCCAATTTGTATCATTATCTGAGGTGACTAAAGTTTTAGTATAAAGAACGATTTACCTAATTTTCTTCAAAAAAACCTATCATATGTTGATACTTGATATACATTAGTTTGCAACGAAAAATCAACACTTACAGAGATCTTGTGAACATAGTCCCTTGAAAATCTTTGAACATGGCCATTGTACTGATCGACAAACAGAAACTTTCGAATCCCATATTTTCTGAGATTATGTGAAAGGCAAAGCAAAGCAGCGGCTGCCAGACAAGCGTGTGAAGATACAACGACAAGCTCAAAGGCTTTAACTTGGTAGAGATCACATCTCAAACAGTTGGTGCTCATCAAAAGTACAGTAACAGGAAGCACAACCCCAATCGTCAAAAACGTTACCCATGAAATCCCAAATCTCAACATAGATGTTTGATTGAAACCCAATAATAACAGATAAAAATCCAATTCTTGAAGGTCTTTATCCAGATGAATACTTGATTCTTCTTCTTCTTGTTCCTCATTTTCTTCGTATAAAATTTGGATTGGGTCTGCTTTTAGGAGGAGGGGAGTTCTGATTTGGGTTTGTTGTTCTTCCGATTCTTGTTCTATTGGAGTCGCGGGATGATCTGACATTTGCAGACGCCGGATTGATGGAGCAAATACGAATAGTGTGTAAAAATGGTAGGTGGTTTGCAGGGTTCAGATGGTGCAGTTGGAACCATGGGAAACTTAAAAGGATTGAAAATGGTCAAAGCAGGGAGGAAACGCAGATTGCCCATTTCTTTGGGGTAGTTTAATAATTTGGATTCTATTTGGGAAAGTGGCAATTGTCTTGATCTTGAAGATGCAATTTTTTAATAGGGATTTGATCTTTTATGACACCGACTCAAAGAGGGTAACATAAAATTTACTCTGTTGGTCGGATAATTGTGATAAAGATTCTTGTATAGCGTGAGGCAGTTATCCCTCTTTATCAGTGTCATTAAATCTTCTTTATATTCAACAATGAACGTGTGTATGATTTTTTTTGGATACTACGACATAAGAGATTACACGCGGCAGATATTTGATTAAAAGTCGAATAAATTTTCAAGTTGGTTTGATTTGAGTTGGATATGGTTGGTTTATCAACAAATGTCTATCGTGTTATTATTTTTTTTTAACAGAAACAAAACCATATATTCACAATCTAACAAAACGTTAGAAGGAAATAATTAGAAAGAGTTTTGAATCCAATCGTTCCATGAAAGAATATTAGACATTCTAAATTTAAACTAAAAAAAATTAATAAATAAATAACACCATCAAAGATTGTGGCCTTCTGTATTTTGCAATAATAAAAAACAACATTGTTTCGAAACATCCATATGAACCACCAAGTAGTCAGCATAATCACTTCCCATCAAGTTTTCGGTCCAAGATAGCCATTCCTTAATAGTCATCGTATTAGGGAAGCTAATGTTGCACCATTTGGCAACCAAACTCCAAATATGTTGCACCATTTGGCAACCAAACTCCAAATATAGCTCACATCGAAAGAAAATTGTGTTCGGAAGACTCTAACCCCAACGGGCATATAGGGTCAGTTAAAGAATGGATATTGAACCCTTTTTAGAAAGGTTTATACGTGTTGGGAGTCAGTCAAGCATACCCCTCCATATGAATATGTTTACCTTATTTGGAACTCCACAACACCATTTGGTTTGAGTCTCTAAACCCGCAAGACAGAACATGTCAATGTGGTTTCTTGTTACTCCCACCGAAAAAGCTCCATCATTGCCAACTTCTAGCACCACTCATATGGTCTACTAGAAGTCGTATGGTGTTGTAGTAAAAATGAGAGTTCCTCCACTTGAGCTTGGAGTGAACCACCTGTAATAGAATGAGACCATCGCCAGTTACAAACACCATCTTGAAGCTGAACCATTACTGTAATATCCTTCTCAATCTCCAACATATATAGTCGATTGAAACGAACCTGGAAAGACTGGTTACCCATCCAAACATCCTTCCAAAACTGAAACTTGTCACTCAATGCCACTGATATGACCTTATTTAACTATATATTTTATGTCATTTTCTTAATATATTTGATTAAAGTGTTATATTTTAAGATATATGATACTTAATATGCTTTGAAATGTTCATAGAATGTTACTTCAATAGCGTTATGACTAGATCTAATAGGTTGCATGTACCCTTAAGTGTATAAGGATTTATCTGCGTTATTACATGTAAAACCCATCAGAGAGTTGTGGGGATCTATCAACTTCAGGGTATGAACGATGCATATTTGCATGAATCCGTTCAGGTGTTGCGATTGCTCGAAGGCGTTCGAGTTGTATCAGTTTTTGATGCTTTGGGTATGTCGATCTTTCGGTATGTAACACCTGGATCTTGGTACGTTTCACTTTTGATCTTCATTAATTAAAAGTTGCAAATTAGCCCATTGGAGTAGTACGCGGGGCATACCACTTGGTACGCTTAGCGTACTAGCTGTGAAGCCAGTACGTGGGGTGTAACACCTGGTACGCTTAGCGTACTAATGCGAGATGGATCGGAACTTCGGGTGCGTACGCGGGACGTACGCTGGGCGTATGTGCAGTTTCTAGAAACCGTAATTTAGGGTGTTGCACCCTATATAATCATCTTTAACCCTTAGGGTTGGCCTCTCTATTTGTCCCTAAACCTCCACAAAAACCCTAAAGCGTCCCTTAGCCTCCATTATTGTATTTTTGAGCTTTTAAAGAGAAGTTGGTGTTATTTTGCTCATTCTTGAAGAAACTAGAAGAAGGTGGAAGTTCATAGCTTGGTGGGGAAACTTAAGATCCAGTATCATTCATCTCTTTGCAAGCTTCTAAATGTATCAAGTTCAAATCTTGACTTGTTAATGCTTAGATCTCTTTATGGGTTGATTTGTCACACTTTTGGTCCCTTTTTGAGTTGATTGATGGTTTGGGATGTTTGAAGGGATCATTTCTCTAGATCTGAGCTTGTTAGAGGCTTCCTAAGCATAAAGGTGCCAACTTTATGGGGTATTGGTTCTTATGCATGCATTAAGCCACTTATTAAGTCATTTCTAAGCTTAAGAGCTTCATTTAGCCATGCATTAACGTAAAGTTAGCAACTTTACGTGTTATTCCAGCTCAAGGGAGTTTGATCTACGTTTTGGAACTTTATCTTATTGGATTGAGGGCTTAATATGAAGAGTGGCTGAACAGGGGAGTACGTGGGCGTACAAGCCAGTACTGTAAGTCCCTAATATGCTTGTGTATCAATCAGATCCGTTTGATGGTGCGGAATCCCAATCAAACGGATGATGTCAGATCAAATAGAAGAGAAGGGGAAGAAGAATAATGTGAATCTCAATGTATTAATGAATAGAATGATGATCCTTTACATGAGATTCACACACACTCACACACACTCTCTTTTCTCTAGTTTCTCTCTCTAGAACACCTTCATATGCACACACTTAAGCTCCTCTAGTGTTTATCCTTCACATGCACTCCTCACCCTATATATATATATATATATATATATATATATATATATATATATATATATATATATATATATATATATATATATATGGACCTAAGGCCAAGCCCAAAATACAAATAATCCAATGCTCGGTCCAACTTACAATTAATCCTATACTATTTTTGGCTCAAATAATAAAAACAATAAATGCTTAGAAAAGCAAAGTATAAACCATATTTTTGACCCAACAATCTCCCCCTTGGTTTATAGCTTTCTTTTCTTTTCTTAAATGACCCAACAAGCTCCCCCTAAAAAGTAGCTGGCTTTTCTTGTTAATCTTCATTGGGAGCTTTGGCTTCAACTTTAATCTTCAAATTCTTCACAACTTCAAGATGAACTTGATGAATCTTCAATGAATGACTTCATCTTGAGCAGTTGGGCTTTTCTTCAGAATTTGACATTGAACGCACATTGGGTGAGGAGGCTTTTTGTACTGATTCTTGAAAGATAATGCTTTCAGTTTGAGAATCTTCAGAGAGAACATCAGAGAGAACAAATCTTCTGGATCACTTCAGCAGGTTCAAGATAGCAGCAGACTGATTGAGGATGCTTCAATGCGATCCGTCACATATTCTTCAATTTCAGCTTCACCTTGCTTCTGGGGTTGAAAGATTGAATGTCGAAAGAATAATCTTCATTTCTTGTTCCTTCGAATGAGAATTCTTCGATGATCACGGATGATGCCTTGGCTCAGAAATCTTCGACACAAAACTTCCATGAGTTTCATCTTCACCTGAATTCACTATTCAAGACAAAACAAAACTAAAAGAAAATTTTAGCACACAATATTTTTGGATTTTTCATATTTTCTGAAAAAGAAATAAAACAGAAATAACACTATTTTTGGATTTTTAATTTTCTGATTTTTGTTTATTTTTTTTTAATTTTTAATTTCCCCCTAATATTTAAATTAGAAGAAAACTATGAACAAATTTAACAAAAATAAAATGATATCTAACTTTAAGAGTGATTTGGGATCAAAGTTTTTAAACAACCTTTTATCCGTTTATCAGTACCTCTCACTTCATGAATAGATCTGGTCAATCGCCGGTATTGTGGTCTACTTAAACACGAGAGATTGTGACAAAATTAGGACATACTATAAGTGACAAGACAATGTGATCCTAAGTTCCTAGATAATATTCCTTAAGGACCATTCAGCTGACGACGACCAAAGATATTGTTGTCCACCTAAATTGAGCAGCGAGATCTACAGACAACCTAGTGATTGTTCAATTTTAAATGTACTAGAACATGTTTCCCGCTTCCTGACATACCCCAATAATCAGGAACTTCCAAAGTACTCCTTACTTTAGGTGAGCAGACAATTATTATGAGAGAAGTCAGATTTAGAGTGCATATGCTATACACCCAGGTCGGATCTCTTCCAATCTCGTAGAGGGTGAAACATATGACTAACCAGATTTAGAGGGATTGAGAAGTAGAATGGTGCATATGCTGTGTACCAGGTCGGATGGTTAATCACGCAAAGGAGACAACATATGGCTAATAGGCAGGAAGAATTGCATAGATAGAAGATGCATAGAAATAGAGTTGCATATGTTGCAGTCCAGGTCGGATGTATTTCAATCATGCAGAGGAGGCAACATATGACTAACAGAAGGAAAGCAAGAAAATAAATTTCTACAGACCTACTTTATCGGAATTCCCCAGTCGCCCCATCAATACCGGAATTAAGGACAAAGTCCGTACATCGAGGAAGAGTTAAATCACAGTTCTAGATACGGATAACTTTAATGTGACCGGTGGATTATCATGTATATTTCCCTGCTCAACCTATCTGAGCGTCGTATTGTCAGGCTAAATGGATCTATCTAGGTCAAGATTTTTAAGTCTCTAGATTCCTTAAGTTCACCAAGCCTAGTCAAGTCCATTTTAATCTCTCGTGCCTACCAGCGCATCGAACACAAAGCCTAGACAATTCAGATTCAGTCCCTTACACAGATTCAGAGTGCCTGTTATCACATGATTATATCACTTTCCAAAACATCTCCCTCAAGCAGATTCCATAACCAACATATTTTTTTTTAATTTTCTGATTTTCTAATGTTTTTGGATTTTTTAAAATTTTCTAATTTTTGTTTTGTTTTTATTTCTCCCCCTAAATTTGTGCATAGGAGAGAATGAATTCACTAAAATGCGCAAATTTAAAGCTAATCTAACAAAAATTAGTCTTTAAAGCGAATCAGCTTAAGAAAAACTCAGGAGTATAGAGAAGAAAACTCAAACCGTAAGTCACCGATTGAATTTGCATCCAGAAGGTCTGAGAACAGCACACGTAATCTCAGAACAAATCGGAAAATTTTTCAT